CCAGCAATAAAACTTGCCTCGTATGTGGGCCTGACTCGATACTGGGCTATAAATCGGATCCTCACAGTCTCACGGGTTGTGTTTGCTGCCGAGCCAGATCCTGCTAGGAGATGGGGAAGCTGGGTGCGTGGTAATGCTGCAGGTTGCTTTCTCTCCCCTACACCGGGGAAGCAGAGGCAGAACATATTTAAGAATATTGTTCTTGGTAGTGCTCATCTCCATCACAGTCTTTTCAGGCACCTGCTGTGGCTTGAAAGGCACTTTGTGACCACCTCCCCTACCTGTCCGCTAAACTTCTTAATCTTTTGCGGCTCTCACCAATAATTTACCAAAATATCAACGCTACACCCGGACAAAGGGGCGGCCACACGCTAAGATAATTCCTCGAGGAGTATTGGCTTGAAAGACTCATTTGTGTGAAATCTATGTATCTGCCATTGGGTTAGATAACACTTTCGGATTGGGCTTCTTCAATGAGAGGATGAATAACTAGATCCAATAATAAATATCACTAATAATTTTTAAACCTGATTACATGTTAAGTAATTGCACTTAAAGATTATAATTATTAGAAAACAGTAACTTCTGGCTAGGTAGATCTTCAGCTGGTCCTGTTGCAACGCAGTATATAAAAGTCTGTAAGTGGCACCTCTCATAACTGAAATAATCTCTCAAATGCTCTTTGTTACTATTTATTCTAATAAATCAAAACAGCAACCGGTGTTCTTCATAGGTAGAGTGTGAGGGGTGAAAACCCATTGAGCAACCTATGAATAACAGCCGTGTAATTGCAGAACAAAAGGGTTTGGAGACCACATGTTTGGTAGGCTTTGCTGAGCGATGGGAGGGAGGTAGGGTCACCTAAAGGAGATATCTGTTTTCCACCAGAAGGCCACACACCATGATTTACTCGTACCAGTCTGTTTATGGCAACTGTCTCTTATTACAGTACACCGCCCAAGCTTGAGTGAAAACTCACCAACACTAAGGTAATTACTCACTGCCTTCGCAAAATCTCCAGCCTCTCCAAATAGAAACCACATGCCATAATAGACTGAACATATTCAAAATAGTACTTAACAGTAATTTTTTTAATAAGCAGAAAATATGCAAACTTAACTGCTGGCTAATTTGGGGTCCAGAGACAATCGCGGTACAGAGTGTGTGTAGGCATGAGATGAATTTTTGCAATTTGGGAGCCAGACGGGGAGTTTGTGTTAAACCTGGGGTCTGTAGAGCAATAAAAGCTGCAAGGAGGGAAGCTTCCCTTACAAGTTAGTTGCTTAAAAGTATGGCACTGAGATTTAAAGGGTGTAATAAGGTGTAATAGGAGAAATCAAACCCAGCTTCTGTTGCTTTGATACATGGAAGCAATTAAAGTTGATAACTGTCCCCCATCTACCAAAGTTTAGGCAAAGCTTTACTTGGAAAGAAAAGCCATGTGATGAAAAGGAGGTAGATCTTGTAACACAAACTCATCTGAGGGGTCCTGGTGCCCGGGAATACCCGTGGAGGTCAAGGTGCCGCAATCAGTTTAGACACAGAGTCTCCTCCAAAATCAGCGGGGCACTGGGTGTGTGCTTCGCTGATGCCGTGTTACGCCCAGGCTTCAGGCGGCGGTACCCCGCAGTAAGACTGCTCTGGGGACTAAGGGCTTTGGACCTGGGCCCAAAATTTCGTCGCCAGCCTTGAGAGCCTGTGGATTGAATAGACTGGCTGTTAAATGCAAGAGGCACCTTGAGCAAGCAGCACCTCATGAAATAGTTTTAAATAACTTCTATGCTCAAAAAGGTAAAGTCCTCAGTCCAGCTATTAATTGTTTCATTGAGATTATAATAATAAATATTTACATATTTTAATGGTATTGCCATGATTGGTTTAATTTAGTTTTAAAACTGAGATAACATATATTTAGTCAAATTATTAATTTGCATCTCCCTTAATAGTTTGTAAAGGATATCTCTCAATTGTAAGTGTGTATTTTTGCTTTTCTCCAGAGTAGGCTATTTTTTGGTTCTGTTGACTTTTGAATATATTAATGGAGAACAATAATTAATAATGTACCGATGTTCTTTAAGGGAGACCCTCCCAACTTTAGGAAGACCAAATCTGTGCCAATACATCCCTTTTCACCCGCTTGCCACTCTAGCGTACGCGAGTGAAGCATTATATTTAATACAGTCATGTGAATAAGAAGCAGGCCCTGAACACAACCTGGTAGAAAATCAAAAGTTCACAAAACATGATTTGTTTTTAATTACCCATTAGCCTAGCCTTGTAAATGTTGCATTGGAGGTTTTTTTTTTTCTGGAAAAATACATACGGTCTGATGCTCTGCTGCTATACGTTAGGCATAACTCTGTCAGTGTTGATCGAGTTATCCTGCTTTACACAAGGAGAGGAGTTAGCTCATTAATAGCCAAGGTGAAGCTTGTGCAAACCTATAGATATGTCACTCGAGTCACCATTTTGACCAGTTTAATTTTGGTTTGCATGATCAACATGATGGGAGCAGGGCGAGCTTTTTGTGTAGGACCGCAGCAATGAAGGTTAGGGGCCTGATTCTGTACCATGAAGTATGGAGGTGACTTGTTTGTGGGAGCGGGAACCTTATGCCTGCAGTTAGGCTAAAAATATGAGAAAATAGCAGAAAAATCAGAGCTTCATACTGCAACAAATAAATGACAAATAGTTCTATGTTAAATAAAAAATAGTTCTATGTTAAATAGGCAAATAAAATATTTTCCAAAAAAAGGAGCAGAAAGTACTTATCCACAGAAAATCAAGCATTAGGAAGGTACTAGAATAATCTCTTCTCTTCTCTTCTTCTCTTACTTCTTGTCTCTCTTTTTCCTTTCTGTTCCATCTTTTTTCTTCTTTCTTTTTCTTTTTTTTTTTTGTTTTCTCTCTTTTCTTTCTTGTCTTTCCTTGTGAATGAAGATTTCCAGCAGGAACAGTAACTGATACACAGCAACAAACATTCTTCCTGAATTACCGCATTGCAAATTTCCTGTGTTTGGGCCCAATTCTGCACTCTTTGCCCCACGAATTGTCCCGGGGATGTCAATGGGATGTGAACAGGGAAAACGGGGTGGATCAGGCAGGATCAGGCCCTCGAACAATAGGAGCATTGTTGCTGAGATATGAAGCAGCCTGCTGAAGAGGTAAACAGTTAAGAGATGACAACAAGTGGTCAAGTTTCTCAAGGGCAGAGATTTAGAGGAGCAGGAAGGTTAGCGCGGGCCCCGGTGCGAGTGGAAGTTAGAGGACGTGATTGCAGTTCATGGGAACCAAGAGTGCAGGATGGGATACATTCAATTCAGTTTCCTTTGCAAGCTTAAAATAGAGCCATTGTAAATTATGTCAGTCTGTCTCAAATCATGAAAATGATTGTTAGAAAGGCCTCAGAATACACAATGTGTATTGTTGTGTGGCTTTGATGTGTGAAAGATGAGAGCATATGATATAACACAAATTAAATAAAAATAAAGTGGCCACATGCTTTTTCCTGCCTGGAGGAAAAAAAAAAAAGGATTTATGACAGAGGGTTAACGCTGCTTACTGATAATGCTGTTGCCTTGTTTTTAAACAAGGCTGGAGCTGATAGTGTTAGAAGCAAGGTAGTGCAGAAGTATGGAAAAATTTTAGCATGATGAAGAGCACAAGACATAGCGCAGCCTTGGGACTTGCCTGATGCCCCGGCTTGTCCAAAGGATGACAAAAGGGGACATAAAAAGGCACTGGAGAGCTGAGCATTATCCTCTTCCAAACCACATTTTAACTTATGGACCTATAACTTGGTTACTGCCCCAATTTGCTCCCTAAGGTTTGTAGCAGCCAGAAAATTAGGGACCAGCAAAATCCCATTCGCTTCAACGGCATGATACACTTTTTATAGTGTCTCGTTCTCCACCACCGGGACCACTTTCAGCCTCTTGCTACTGAAAATGGTTGCTGGAAGCCGTGCGCCGACGTGCGAGGTGTCACAGGCTGGATCAGGCCCCCAAGCTCAAGGTAGACCTCCTCCCCTCCGTGGTTTCAGGCTTTCTCCAAGTGCTTCTTTTGCGAGGCTGAAGCTATTCTCATCCCAGAGGAGTCTGAAAGGAAATCCATCGAGCTGTTTTGAGCATCAAACATGCAAATAAATACAGCTGCATTCTTAAAGGAAATTGTTGTTGAAATATAACGTATTTTTTTATGCGCAAGAGACAAGTAAGCAATACTAAGACTAGTAAAGTTACTAAGATGTGGAAATTAGAGTTACAGCATCCCAGGCACCTGTAGGGACTGCATGCATTACACAAATAGAAATGCTTTGGACATGTGAGAGTACTAGACTGAGGTTACTCAGGCTCTAGCCTAGACTGTCATGAGATTAACTGCCTAAGTGTAAGTAGAAAAAAATGTTGTTTCTTAATAAGGTTACGCACTTGGTTACCTGGTTGTTTCCTCCTTCACCTCTTTCATATCCTTGTGGTCTTGCAGATTGAAAGCTCTGTGAGGCAGATCTGTCTGTCTCCTGCCTGGTCCTGCAAATACTTATCTTAATGACTATCTTTCCACTGTGAATAGTGACATAAATGGATTTCATTTGAAGACACGAGTGCTCGCTGACGCAGGAGCTCTGTGGGTTCATATGGTGTTACAGCGCTGAGCTCTTGGTGGGGCACTGGGTGCTAATGCAGTACGGAATAACGGTACCGAGTATGCAACACTATGCAATACAAAGAGCAAACCAGGAAACTTTGTCTTTTAGTGATTTCAGACCCTTGCTGGTTTGTTGGAGCGGGTTTTGGTGCTGTCTTTAGACATTTGTCTGCTTGGATGCCTTGCTTTGGAAGAGTACAAGAGTTTTTTGTACATTTGTGCACCCAGACTTCTCCTTATGACTTCCTAATTGACATTTGGCGGGTAAAAAAGTGGTGTTATTTGCAAAAGTTTGAGGGTGGGGGCAATTACCATAAAGCCTGAGATGTGTTGTTGTTGTTGTTTACATACAGGTGAGGTCTGCCATAAATCCTATACTCAGTTTTCAAACCTTTGTCGTCATAAGCGCATGCATGCTGATTGCAGAACCCAAATCAAGTGCAAAGACTGTGGACAAATGTTCAGCACTACGTCTTCCTTAAATAAACACAGGAGATTTTGTGAGGGCAAGAACCATTTTGCAGCAGGAGGATTTTTTGGCCAAGGCATTTCACTTCCTGGAACCCCAGCTATGGATAAAACGTCCATGGTTAATATGAATCATGCAAATCCGGGCCTTGCTGACTATTTTGGAGCCAATAGGCATCCTGCTGGTCTTACCTTTCCAACAGCTCCTGGATTTTCTTTTAGCTTCCCTGGTCTGTTTCCTTCAGGCTTGTACCACAGGCCACCTTTGCTACCTACTAGTTCTCCTGTTAAAGGACTACCGAGCGCAGATCAGACAAACAAAAGTCAAAGTCCCCTCATGACAAATCCTCAGATACTGCCAGCCACCCAGGATATTTTGAAGGCACTAAATAAGCAACCATCAGTAGGGGAGAATAAGCCAGTGGAGCTTCAACCAGAGAGGTCCTCTGAAGAGAGGCCGCATGAGAAACTCAGTGACCAGTCAGAGAGTAGTGACCTTGACCTTGACGATGTCAGTACCCCCAGTGGCAGTGACCTGGAAACCACCTCGGGCTCTGATCTGGAAAGTGACATTGAAAGTGAGAAAGAGAAATTTAAAGAAAATGGTAAAATGTTCAAAGACAAAGTAAGCTCTCTGCAGAGCCTGGCTTCAATAAATAATAAGAAAGACCACAGCAATCATTCCATTTTCTCACCATCCTTAGAGGAGCAGACTGCGGTGTCAGGAGCGGTGAATGATTCTATAAAGGCTATTGCCTCTATTGCTGAAAAGTACTTTGGTTCAACAGGACTTGTGGGGCTGCAAGACAAAAAAGTCGGAGCCTTACCTTACCCTTCCATGTTTCCCCTCCCGTTTTTTCCAGCATTCTCTCAATCAATGTATCCATTTCCTGATAGAGACTTGAGACCGTTACCCTTGAAAGTGGAGCCCCAATCACCCAGTGAAATAAAGAAGATCCCAAAGGGAAGCTCTGAGTCTCCCTTTGACCTCACCATAAAGCGTAAGGAGGAGAAGCCACTTACTCCCATACCCTCAAAGCCAGCAGCCCCCTCTGCGGCAAGCCAGGACCAGCCTCTAGATCTCAGCATGGGCAGCAGAAGTCGAGCCAGCGGCACAAAACAAGCCGAGCCTCGGAAAAACCATGTCTTTGGAGAAAAGAAAGGAGGGGACCTTGAGCAAAGGAAAGCTTCGGAGTCCTCCTTGCAGCATGCCAGGCCCACCCCGTTCTTTATGGATCCCATTTACAGGTAACGGACTATCTGCTGCCTTTCGGCATCCTTTGGTACAGCAGTTAGGTCTGCCAGGGCCACCTGCCCGCAGATGCAGGACAGCCCCATTCCCACCCACCATCCCTGCAGATGTCATCCCACCAGCGGGGCTTGGGGTGGCCGGGGCTGCACGCTGACCTGCGCACCCCACCTCAAATCCGAGCTGCTCAGAGCAAACCACGGGTCCAGTAATGCCGCAATTAGCGAGTCTTCATGACTGCCCTCATTGCAGTGGGTCACTGGTTTAACCTGTGTAGCTTGACACGTAGAAATTGGATATATTCTCCTACCCAGAAACGAGTTGGCATCAGTATCAAATGTTTGTGTGTTTACTGTGTATTTGACATCACTGGTTTGCCCCAAATTCCTTTTCTTCCGAAATGCTGCCCACTGGCCTTGGCTGCCCTTTGCCTTCCCCTGGAAATGACAGTGCATCTCCCTGGGGTGCCAGCTGTACACCACCCTTCTAGCTCCTCCTGAATTAAATAGAAGTGTCTCGTAAGTACAACAAAGAAGCAAATTTGTCCCAAGGTGTATAAAGAGTATGGAAATTGAGAGTGATTTCTGCCCTTTTTTTACTGTTATTTGAGCAATGGGTTGATTTCTCCAGGCATTCATTAATATAATTGAAGGTGCAGTGTCGTTGTGTGTACAAAGCCTATAGCCAGTGGGCTAGTTCATCTGACCTACCTTGTGGAATCCATGGGAGCCTTGTCGTTGGCTTCAACGGGTGCACAAGCAGACACTGTCTGTGAGCTGAGGTTTTAAAAACCAGTGGTAAAATCCTGACCCCTCGGTGTTTCCCAGAGATGGATCTTACGGGGGTCTGGATTTCACCTGCATCCCGTGTACGTCAGCCCCTCTTTGCCCTTTGCCTTTCTGCTCGTGTATCTGTAACCAGCCAAAGTCATGCATCTAAATTAGTTTAGAGAAATATTAGCCATAAAACTATTTGTCTGTAATATAAATGACTGATTTTACAGCCTATTGTTAAAAAAAAAAGTTACTGCCATGTAAATGATGTTAATTTATTACTTTATCTGAAAAAGAAATGCTATGGGCAAAGTTTTTGGAGAATGCTCTCGCATGCGACAACAGGTGTGCATTATGAAGAAACAGGTTATGATACTGTTTACTGAGATGGTTTCATTCATGCCAGATTGATATCTGTATTAGACCATAGGTTTTCTTTGCGTCATATTCATTTTAAATGCCTGAAGCAGTGGAAATAATGATCCGTGTTTTACGGTCCCACATTACAAACCAATGAAATCTGTACAAATTCTGGCAGCGTAGCACGAGGCCAGTTGTTACTGAGCCTTCCTTTGCTGTGAGTTACATCTACATACGGACGACAGGATCTGTCCCTTAAGCTGTACACAGCAGTAACAGAAAAAGCAAAACCCTCAAATTTCCACACTGCTGCTCAATTATTCGTGCTGCATTTCGCTGCCGAAATGCCCCCATGAGTTGATCGCCGCCTTTGCTGCTGGCACGTCAGATCCAGTGCGTTCCTGCAAGCCTGCCTTTCCCTGCTTGTGCACGGCCACGCACAAGGAGAGGTTTCCAGGATGGTGGCCGCGATGTCTCACATGGGCAGACGAGAAGGACCCATTGCTCAAGGCCTTGAATTCCTCTCGTGTGAGTGGAGAGCACACTCAGTTGCCTTATTTCTTCATAAAAGTGCTCGGTAGTTAGTCATTGGTTCCTACTATAATTATTACCGGTCTTTTGAAATGGGATTATTTCCTGTGTAAATGGTATGATCTCCCTTCAATGGCGATTCACAGCCCCCAGCCGCCGTAATGAGTTGTATGCGGGAATCGAGAGCTGACTGTACTTCCTTATCTTTTACCACTATCTCTGAGAAACAAACTACTTGATGTATAATTGACTATTTTAAACATGAGTAGCTGTATAATTATTAATATCTGAGACCAATTCATCACAAGAAAATCTAATTTTAACATTTACAGAGTAGAGAAAAGAAAGTTAACTGACCCACTGGAAGCTTTAAAAGAGAAATACTTGAGACCTTCCCCGGGATTCTTGTTTCATCCACAAGTAAGTATTTTGGGAGTTTTGATGTTGTAAACAAGCCTGTTGATGCTTCAAAGCAGGTGCAGAGAAATGAATGCAGTCTTAGTCATTTTTGGATTTCCTAAAACACGCAGTTTTTGCTGCACCATTGTGGTGAAAAAGCATAAGCATTGTTCTGAGCTTGTTGATGTTTTGCAGATGAAACAACATGTTTTGATTATAGAGGAAGCCAAATTCAAACTACATGTATGTTTTAGAACCATGTTCCTCCAAACCAGTAGCATAGCTACTAACACTTGCAGCTACCCATGTCTTCTGTTGCGGTGGAGTCAATATTGACTACAAGGAGGTGATGTAGATTCAAAGTCAGGCCAGCAAAGCTGAACATCCCAGTTGCCAGTATTTAAGGAGCCCCAGAAAAGAGGTAAAACCTTCCACCCAATGCTTTCAAGTCTTACAAGCAAATGCTCCATCTCTTTTAGGTAGCCGTTGTGGGCAGTGGCTTTGTAGGATCCCTGCTCCTCCATGCCTGAAGACATACTATGTGAGAGGGCTGCTGTCTTGTTCATAGGCCATAATCCTGCTGCTTATTCGCTGGATAACAAAAATTTAGGAGAGTGTCCCTAAAATCACGTAACAACTGCAATGTGTATGTAATATAGCAAGACTAGTGTATGCAAACCTATGTCACTTTTCTTCAACAGCATTGCACCCTCATTTTGTCCTCCCCCTCCTTGCTCAAGGAAATCTTGCTAAAAATTTGGGTTAAATCTTACGCCTGAAATAAAATGCTCTATGGTGTTTGCAAATTTGAACCCCTTGCTGACTACGGGCTGTCTCATCCTAATAATGACACCCCATACGGGTCTTGTATTTTAAGCACACAACCAGGAGCTGCTGTCTCTGGTTCAGCTTCCTCTGATTCCCGAGCAAACCATGTCAATAATCTGCCACCACTTGTGAGTTGTTTTTTTCAATGAAGGCAGCAGTTGTAATGTCCTGTTCTGAAATACGGGACTTGTGGAGAACTGGGAAGAGCAGCTGATGGCGTACATAGTTGCAAACACTCTGTTCCAGTTCCCATGCCTGTGGGAAGTGAAGGGTCTACTAAGTATTAATGTAAAGGGTTTAATGGCAGCTCAGCACCTCTTGCTGAGTTACCTTATTTGCCCGAGTTGCAAAGCAACAAGTAAAAATTCCCAAGTATTAATGCACAAATACGGAAACGGAAGCTCGATCCTCTTTGTGTCCCCTGGTGTAAAACTGGGCAGGTTCCTCTCCATCAGATGAGTGATTCTGTCAGAGCAGCTAAGGGGCTGTAAATTAATAGTAAATTAATACAGTATTGATGGATGCAACAGCATTACTTTGCTTAATGCTAGCTAGCTTTTCAGCAGGTGTAAATTGATGGTGTTTAGTGAAGTTGGATTCAGGGGGCTTTGAAGGTTTTGCCACAGGTTGGTCTGATGATGGTGGTAGGTAGCGTGGTCAGCGGGTGGGAAAGGAGGCCCTTTGGGTAAAAGGCACCGTCAGGAGTTTGGCAGGGGTAGGCGGAGAAGGAGTTGGATACTCTTCTACGTAGCGTTGCATGACTGAGTTACGTGGGGCACTGGAGGAGGGTTAATGGGAGTTAGGCGAGGATGTCGTCGGCGTGCAGGTGCAGTGGAGACATGGGGCGTTTTGCCATTAGCGGGCGGGATGTCGGGATTTCACCCTTTGTGTTCTTTCACGGCGAGTTGGTTAAATCTATTGGTGGTTCCCAAGGAAGGTCCCAGTGCGGTCACCAAGTCCGTCAGCATGAGCAGGAGGTGTCAGATGCCACCTCCCTACTGCGGGGCCAGCCGAGGTGGGGCAGAGCCAGCACCGCTGGCGGGAGGGAGGGCTAGTGGTGCACCCGTGTTGCTGAACCCATCCCTCCGCATTTCTCATTGCGCAATAGGAAAAAAATATCCATGGTAAAAACTGGCTTTCGTTTTATCACTTACCTGGCTGCTAGGGATAATGTCTTTAACTTGGTGTGAGGTGGATGGATACACAGGTCATGAGTGTAATATGCTCTCTTCATACATCATAAAAGAAAACTAATCCACCATCGCATGTCCTGTCAAAAAAGTAAATGCCAAAATCTGCTTTCTTGCAGACTTTAATAGAAAGGAGTCTCCTGTTTGCAAAGGCAGAATTTGGCTCGGTGTTTATAGAGGGCTGGGGAACGGCTTGCAGAAAAGCTGTTTTTCCTTTATAGCCCTGTTCACCTCTGTAAAAGTACAGGCGCGGAGTGTACCGCAAGTTTTCATTTTCTGCTGGCAAGATTTATCTATGTAAAATATGAACAAAATTATTGTTTGTGTCCTACAAGTTTGTGTTTCTGTAGGTGAATTTATTTCTGAAACTTGCCATCTGATGAAGCAAGACTTTATTTTTTTTAACTGTATAATATGACAGCTAACAGATGGACTTTAAAATAGGTTTCTGAAGTAGAGATTAAAGACGGGAACCCTGCAGTCCTTACCCTGTCCCTGCCTGGGCAAATTCTTCCCAGTGACAGTGGCCTGAAAGCTAAGAAAATTTCATAATTTAATGGTATTTCACAATAATTTGCCATTACAAGGATTGCATTTTTAGGGAGAGAATACCCTGATGCAACAAATCATTCAGAATAACATTTTAATTAGTATCTTTAAATAAAATCTTAATTAGTAGATTGATTGCAATGAGGGTTCCAACGCAGGAATAATGTGTTGTTTTTGTTTCAATTTTGCTCCCAGTTCCAATTGCCTGATCAAAGAATTTGGGTAAGTTCACTGCTTATATTTTTGATTTAATCATTGTGAAGTAAATTGCATAAGAAAAATACAATATGAAAGATAACTTACCACTCAATTACGGAGCATGCCAGTTGTAGCTGTAGCAGATAAATATCCTTTTATGTCAAATTGGCTTTATTTTTACCTACCTAATCCTGCCGGTTTTATTTGGTGAAGGCAATGGGAGCTTTACCTGAGTGAGGGTTTCAAAATGCAGTCTTTATCTATATTAACTGAAATTGTTCCAAGCCATTTCCTTCAGATATTGCAGTGAAATTTTCAGGCTGAAATCTTGTTAGATTGCAATAGTTATAAATATTTAATCTGCATTTGAGACATTAAAATACAGAGCCTCAGAGGACTTCACGTTTCTATCTCGCATTGACTTCAGTGGGAGTTAAGTCACTTTAATAGCTTTGAAGTTTTGGGCTTAATTGCTCATTGCGGTATTTAAAGCAGAAATAAAACACCCATTTATTTGCTGTGTTTGGGTCCAATCTGTCCTGTGTGTATACTTACACCGTCCCCCTAATGCGAACAGAAACTGTGCTTTTATTACTATGGGATGAATTTGAGCTTGCTCTTCTATTTTTATGAAACGTTATTTTTAATACATCTAAATTGTTCGTGAAAAAAAAGAGCCACAGCAACTGCTTTTGCAGATGCGACTCAAATAACACCGTGTTTTGCTCTTGCATGGCTGGCTCCTCAGCTGCAGCACTGAACCCATAAATACTTGTCCCAGATTTTTCCCAACCTTCGGGCTTCGGAGGAGAGAGCCGGAGCCAGCCGGCCGCGGCTCAGGTCCTGACTCACTCTTGTTCATCACTCGTAGTGCGACGTGGACTAATTTCACAAGACGAAGCCAGAATTTCACAAAATGAGATCGGAGATCTTCACATACTCTGCCCCGCCTGCGCCTCCTTACAGGCTAGTGCAGGAGCCCTCAAAGGGGCTGGCCCTGCAGATAGGGGCTTAGCCCTGCCCTGCTCTGCGTGCCTCCGTGGCACGCTTCAAAAGCAGCGATGGACCTTCGCTTTGCGTACCTGCGGCTTTTCATCCCATTTTCTGCCTGGAAAGTGATGGTTTGTGCAGCTGCAAAAGATGCACTAGGATCCTGAGATGAAAGGAGCTGAGCAGGTGCCGAAGGACTCCTGCGAGCACCCGTAGATGCTGAGCGAGCTCAACAGATAGGAGGTGGGGTTAGATGCCAGACTTGGAGAGCACAAGAGGTTGTTCCCAAACATTTTCTTTGCAGTAGAGAGAATTCTGTGTAGCACATGAAGGGGCCGTGGTAGGGTTTGTCATTTGGCCCAGGCACCCTGACTCCTCTGCTCTCAGAAAAGTGGCTCATGTTTGGGCATATTTGGGAAGCCGATGGGGATAGGGACAAAATCCCAATGCGGCCTGTTGCTTTTGTCTGCTTTCCTTGATGTTGGCTTGGTCCTCAAATTTCCATCATCTTGCTTTTTTTGTGCGCGTACATGTCCTGGCCATGCTAGTGCTTTGAGCAGCCGCAGAAGAACTACGTATTTAAAGCATAAAGTGCCCAGAGCAGGGTGCTGATTCATGGATGAATCTTCATCTTGAGAGATTTGAATATGTCACACGAGCCTTTCTATCTCAATTCACAGTTGCATGTGCCATATATTTCAAGATTATTTCAAATCGTTTTTCATTGTTTGGCAGGAACCCTATAGTGCAAATCAATGGGCAGCACCCTCTCTTGAATGGATCATGATTTATTTAGTCTGTAGACTCTTTCGTCCCCGTGGGTCCCATCAAGAGAAGGTTGCTATAAAGAGGTTTTGTAATTATAGTCAGACTTCATTTGCACTAGTTTCATGGAGAATCAGTGTAAATAATTAAAATAATTGTACAAATAAATGGGAAGAAATTTGGTGAGTGCATTAACAAAGCTTTTATTTTACTGGACTTATTTTAGGACGTGATCCATTCTGTTAGATCAGCTAAATCCCCACCAACTGCATGAAGACAAATAGAGTTATTCTGGAACTATACTGCAGATCAGCAGGAGTTTCTCACTACTGCTTCAGAAAGTTCAGCCATGTGTGATAGGTCTCTTGAACGTGAATATAGCTTAGCCAAGTTCCGTGGCTGGATGTCCAAATACACAGTTTCAAGACAACAAATTCACAAGTCGTAGTTTTTAGAGAAAGCGTTATAACTTGAACTGGGGAGAAAGAAATCCTGAGCCTTAGTAGTTGGGTTTTCAAGATTTCTCTAAATAACACTAGTAAAAATAGAAAGCAAACATTTGAACAATTTTTTTCCCATGAGTTGCAGCCATAAAGTCAGTTGTTTTTGCGATAATGGCAATGAAGGAGTCGCGTTTGTAAAACATGAGGTCATGTAATTCATGACATTGTCTGCTAGATTATTTCATATCATCAGGTTATTCTTAAAAAGCAGCAACAACAAACCTTTGCTTTATTTATGCCACTTTTTTTTCTGTTGGTTAATAAATTTTAAGACAAATATTCAAGGCTGCTGCTGATGATATCTTGCCCGTTGAAATGTTTATAAATACTTGTTTTAGCCGATTATGGTAATGTCTGCATTTTTGAGTCGGAGCTGGGGAATTGCGACTGCATATTAGTTTGCGTCAGTAGGAGGTTAATAGCCTCTCAGGGAGCGGGAGGGAGGTGGGGAAAGCTGCTTCCTTTTCCAGACATCTGGACACAGATAGAATCAACAACTCTTATATATGTAAATCAAAAGTTACTGTTCTATATAAAATACTGTCATTCACTGATCTCAGATTAGGAGCAGACATGACTTGTCCATGAGGCAATAGCTGTATGTAAAACATGTAATAGGATCTTCTCACTCTCCTACCTCCTCAGAGAGCTTTCTCCATGGACACGGCAATTACACTAATCCCATCCTTGGGGTTAAGCTGTGCCTTCCTCCCCGTGCCCCGTTCAGGGATAGCCGCAGTCCTTGGGCGCTCAGCTGGGGTGCAGACCCCTCCTGAAAGGGCTGCCCAGCAGCTTGAGCCACACGCCTGCCTCCCTGGTGGTCCCCAGGGAGCTGAGGTGGCCACGAGAACCCACCTAAGCTCCCAGGACAGATGCTATCACTAACAGCGTGCTCCAGGAGTTTGGTGGATTGCTGACCAGTAGCATCTCCACGGTCAACACAGCTCCTCTGGAGGCAAGTCTCGCCTTGCAATCAGGCATAATGGTGTCTTGAAGGAGTAAGAGCTACTTCGGTTGTGTTTCAGCTGAAAGGGGGAGTTTCATTGTGGAAGAGGGAAAGTCATCCCCTGGCTAAATAATTAGTCTGAAAACCACCCAAACCTTGGAAAAAAAAATAAGAATCAATTAGTGATTTTTACCATCATTGAAGATGGAAGTGAGTCCACCTAGGGGTGTCACTGGGATCTGAACTATGACATAGATCTGTAAATGACACAGGACGAAGGGTGACCAGGCAAAGAGCAAAGTTTGCCTACTGTTTATTGAGAAGAGCTAAATCCAAAGCCGACTATGAAGATTTTGCAGAAGATGTGCAGAAAGCTGAGTCACTGGGGATTAAATAGCAGTAAAACTCAATGTTAGTAAATACCCAGTAATACTGAGGGGAAATTGTGACTCTTAACTCGTGTCATTCAGGAGAAAGATCTTGAAGTCAATAGTTTTATGAAAATACCATCCAAGTGCTTAGCAGAAAGGCGTTGAAAACATCATTATGTTATATTGCCTTCAGGTCTTGAATACAGCTGAAGTCCCTCTCAAAAAGGACATAGTAGAATCAGAAAAGACACAGAAAAGTGCAACAATGATGATCAGAGGTAGGGAACAGCTTCCATACAAAAAAGAGACTAAGCAGATTTTGATTATTTCAGCTTGGAAAAGAAATGCCCAAGGGAGCTGTGCCCCAACTCTGTGAGACCATGAATGGTGAGCAGAACCTGAATGAGAAATGGTTATTCATTAGTTTTAACAATAAAAAAAAAAATGAGGGGCACCCAGCTGAATTATCAGGCAAAAGGCTTAGGAGGAACAAAAGCCAGTATCTTTTCATAGCCACCTAATTAAATTGGCGGACTCTCCTTGACAAAACTATAAAGGGATTCGAAAAGGGTTTAAGCCAAATGAATGGGAGCAGCAGCCACCAATGGCCGTTCAACACCGTAATCAAGATGCAACCTCCAGTTAAGGCTCTTGCACCTCTTATTGCGGGGATGTGAGAGAAGACACTGGGGAGAAGGTCTGTCCCTTGCCTGCTCTCTTGCGCATCCCCTGGGGCCGCTGCTTGAAACCAGGGTACCGGTTTCCCAAAAGCGAGTCGCAGGTTTGTAATTCCCGCTTGGTTTTGGTGGCTGAGTTAGTTCTCAGCGCGAGAAACCCCGGATTTCATATTACGGAGTCAATGTTTTGCGAGCAGACTGGTGAGCGGGGGCTGCCTACCTGAACATAAAGGCAGCGAGAGCGTGTTGTGGGGCTGGGCTGGCAGGATTTTATGGGCTGTAACAAGCCTGTGCTGCCCGGGCGCCCATCTCGCGGTAGGGAATTGCGTCCCGAAGGCCCCGAACACCACCACGCTCCAGGGATGCTTAAGAAAATGCCCCAGTTTTGATTCTTGTGAGCAGTATCTCCAGCAGATAGTAACTGCTATAATTATCCTGACAGCGGAGTGCCACCGCCTCGTATCAGCAAAGGCTTGGGGCTGAGCACTTCCCATTGTTGCCGGTGCATTTCTTGAAAAACATAAATCATACCAGGTAACTATCTAGGTCAGTCTTTTAAAAAAAAAAAATGAAACACAATAGTCATTCCTACAGTGAGAAACATTTTTGGAAAGCAAGTAATACTTTAAAATAATTGGAAGTGCTTGTGTTTCCTCTGAATGAGGGATTTAAGATTAGATGCTGATTTCATACCTATTTTGGGACCGATGTAATCCTGGAGGCAGTGTTGGAGGTAGCGCTGATCTGCATCGCCGTGCATTAGAGAAGAATCTGTCTCAATTTCTTCTCTGCAAAATCCTGGAAATAAGAATTAAAAAAAAATAAGCATGACTAAGCCATTTTAAATGTAAAAGGGAAAATAGTTGCTTTAATATATTACTGTAGGGGACCATGTACATGAGAAATGGTGATCCAAAAATGATTTAAAACCACTAGATAATGAAACTGACTTGAATATTAAATATACATAAATAAAACATTTATTATACTTCTCAAAGTCCTTATTATTCTTCACCATAAATATGTGCTTTCATAACCCATGCACTGTCTTGTCACTGCTAATCAGCCCGAAGGCCAAAGGTCATTTTTCATTCAAACCATTTATTTTCCACAGTTGCAAAATAGACAAATGAATTCTCGCAGGTAACAATTAGAAGGAATTAAAAGCAGTGGAAAGACTATCGTAAAAGCTTTAAGAATCAATTCTGACTAAAGAAAAAGATGAAGTCATATAAAAAGAAATATATGGTAATGTTGAGTTGTATGGGTTGATAATGACATCTCGGTGCCGAGATAGAATTACCTCCTCTCCCAGCAGCATCATCATTACATATCTCACGCCTGTGATCAGTACATGTCAAAATCCTTCATATTGACAAATGTGCTGTCCACTTGCATCTGTGGAGAATGTTTTAGCAGCTGAGTGATTATGAATCAAACCCCAGAGCTTACAGCCCCTACTGCCTTGCAATGCTTTCACATTTGTTGCCTGACAAGTAAATGTATCTTGACTTCCCTCTGAGATTTTTTTTTTTTTTTTTTGCACCGTGTTTGATGAAAGACATTTGGCAAATTGGCAGTGGTACCCTGTACATTGCAATTTGTCCTCAGCATTAGGAATCTGAGCATGAAATGAGAGGGCAGGCTACAGGCTAAAGGGAAAAAAAAACCCAACCCAAAGCCAGAGCTAACCAGCACCTGAATAGTCATTCCAGGAGATAAATATGCGATTGTGCCCATGAAAATAAAATTTAAAAAAACCCCAACAAATGTGCAATTCTTCCCATTAAAATAGACTTTTAAAATCCCAACAATTGGAGCAGTCTCTTACGGATTTTGAAGAATGGGCTGGAAAGGTATGCTGAGCTGAGGCGCATTCAGCATCTTGTCTTTCATATAATTTCCTCCTTCATTACAAAGCAAGGTATTGCACAGGGCTCGTGCTGTGGTTTTTATGCTCTGTAGGTGAGATCTTGGGGTTTCTTTTTTTTTCATTTGTTTGTGGTGTTATGAAGAGGCAGACGGTTACTCTCACCTGTCAGTAGGCTCAGCAGCAGTCTTGAACTCTCCAAAAGTGACAATGTTTGGGGTTTTGGAGCAGTTTTTCGTGGTCAGTTCCAGACACCTTTAAGGAAACCATTCTCCAGAAATTATTTAATGCCTACTCCTTGAAAATTAAAGCCCTTTAAAGGCAGCTAACTAAGACCAGAGGCATCTCAAAGTGCGTAGGGCTTTCAAGCAACTAAAGGTAGAGTTTGTAGAAAAACAGGACAGGCATCTAACAGGTAATGTAAGCACATAGCACCAAACCCACCAAAGCTTCATTTCTTGTGGATTCATCTCGTGGTCTTTGACTATGATGGGTGAGAAGACTGGACTGAATGGTTGGAGGTGGCTGGGACATTGACAGCGCCTCTCTGGATCTGGCTTGTTGCAGGCCTTGGTTGAGCTAGAGTGTTCATAAGGTGTCCTCTGCAATATTTGTCCTCTGCAAACCCTTAAAAAAAACCAACAAAAAAACCCTGTAGGAATTCAGTTATTGTTGGGATCTCTATTTTTTCTGTTGATGTGGTCAGAAATGGCCAATGGTTTTGGTGGGTGGGATGCACAGACTCATAAAAAGAAATGAGCACTAGCTAATTCAGAATTTGTATGGAAGCAGCTTTCCACGATAGCAGTCGGGACAGAAGTTCTGCTGTGTGCTGGCCTTGCAGAGAAACAGCAACCCAGTACAGCAGTTACGGGCAGTGATTACAAGGGGGACAACATCGTGGCCACCACCTTGCCTAATGTGCCCCGTAATTTTTGAGACAGCAACTGTACATTTGGGTTTTTTCTTTTTTTTTTTTTCTCTTGGCAGTGTATGTTCTTTGTATTTCGTGTTTCCAATGAGGGCAGAAAGCCGAAGCAATATTCACCGTGACGGGTTCTGTGCTATCTTCTGTTGCAGATGTCAGCTATAGAAAACATGGCCGAAAAGCTGGAGAGCTTTAGCGCCCTGAAACCGGAGGCCAACGAGCTGATCCAGTCGGTGCCGTCCATGTTCAACTTCCGCGCGCCGCCGAGCGCGCTGCCCGAGACCCTGCTGCGGAAGGGCAAGGAGCGCTACACCTGCAGGTAGCCCTAAAACGCTGCGGGGCTCCCCAAATGCCCCCTGCTCAGGCAGTTGACGGGGACTGCGACGGGTCTTTCAGGGCTTTCTATGCCCAATGAAACATGGAAAGCGTTTCGCTTTGGGGTTCTTATTTATTAAATTACTGGTGTTTGACAAACGAGGTGGAAACTATTATATAAACAATCCTTTTTTCCAAATTTTCTCATCACTTTCATACTCACAAGTATGCTTTCATTATTGATTTTTTTGATCATAAACTACAGATGTGTTTTTTCTCAGGCTTCTGGTTTTAATATCCAAAGGCATCAGTGATAAAATAAATGACTTATTAGGACTTATGTGTACTGACTTAAAAAAAAAAATACAATGAAGATAGTCATTGTACGTGCAACCAAAATGAATGGGACCTTTGTTGAGGAGAGTAGAATTAGCTGTGCGGGTATTTTGAAGGCTTATACATCATGTTGTGAGAAAATAAATGGGATGTTAAAAGTGAAGGGATGCAATCTTCAAAGTCGTCACGTGAAGCAACAACCACCCTCATTCACTTAAGAGAGTGCTGCGTGTGTGCTCCGTCCCCATGCAAAAATGGGCCGAATGTGATTAACAGAACTGGGCCAATAATAAACTGAATATTAATATGTTACTTGAACGAAGAGAGAGGGCTCACGATAATTTTTTTGGCCGTTATTGTTCCTGTGACATATTATCAAGTTTGGAGAATCATTTTTAAATTGCATTATTTAGGTCTCTATATCATCCCTAGAATGCACAGGCGTTTGACACTGGCATATCGGTTTATCTGATCTTTTTGAAAACTTGTCACCTTCTTCCAAGACACGTTGTTATAGAAACATACCTTGATGGATTAGGTCTTTGAGTCTTGTCTGCTCTGATCCTGTTCAGTGCGCAGAATGATGTCACGTTTGCTGACACGTAGAATTGGTTTAAAGGTTTGAAATTTGCTTACATGGAGGCAGAAATCCAAAGCTTTAATAACAGATTCTGTTGATTCCAAATCTGAATGTGACAGATAATCACCTAGTGAGGTTAGAAATTTTGGGTGATCTTTATTCATATAAACTGGTATGTTTTCATATATCCCTTGCTTATACACAAGAAAACCTGGTTAATGCCAACAATTCCAGTTGCGTTCTTGTGTGTGTGTGTGAATCACTTATATTTGCTGAATGATTTTAGTCAAATGTCGTTACACAAAAGCAATACCAAGAGTACCATATATTAATGATTCGATTTGGGCTATGTGTCTGGGGAAGCTCAGATTGGGACGAAGCTACCGAAGGTTGTGTTATCTTATCAAACGTTTTCTTATCACAGATATTGTGGCAAGATTTTCCCGAGGTCTGCAAACCTAACACGTCACCTGAGGACGCACACTGGAGAGCAGCCCTATAGGTACCGCGAGCCCTTACCTGTGTCTGTGGTGTGGTCAAGTGAATAAATGAGCGCTCAACAGCCTTGCTCGGCCAACTCCGGAGCTCGCTCCTTAGCACTGATGACCTACCATTGCATTTTGGTCTCAAACAGGGCTTTTTGCTTTTGATGCCGATACTCAGCCTTGGAGTTGCGGAGATGGGGGAAGGTTTTGGTCCCAGTCAGTGAAATTCTTTCAGCTTAAGCACCCGCCCAGGCACCATCCACAAGTCCTGCCTCTGCCTGGTGGGATAGCTGGCGCTTCTGAACCAGCACGGTTGAAATGATTTTCAGTAGGGGCTCATGGGCATATTTTCCCTTGCAGAAATGTTTTTTTTTTTTGTAAGAGCTCTGTGGCGTTATTTGCAGCCTAAAGTTGGGTGTTTCGTCAGTCATCTGATTTCTGAGAGGTCCCTGTTGCAAAGGTGTTACTGTATTTATTTGTTTCCTGCCTAATCTGGAATCCTTTCTGAGGTCTGCTTAACCAAAACCCATGTGGGTATACTCTCTCGTTGATAAGAATATGTATGTGATACTGTATCCAGGACAGTCACATGCAGAAATGTGTATTGAAGCTTCACCTTATTGAAAATTAAAGACTTAATTTAAATCAACTGGAAAGCAGCCAGTTCATGTTCCAGTAAAACAAATGCACCAATTTTTGCATTTTATGAGCTGTAAAGAGCAGAGTAAGCTCATTGTTTGTGAGGAAACAATATGTTTTTTGCCTCTAGTCTCTTTGGGAAATGAGATTCACATCTAATTCACATCTAAGAAAGGTCTTGGTGCATGTTATGCTCATCCACTACATAAAAGCCACAAGCAATTAGTAGCATAATGGACGATTTCAGCACTAAAAAAAAATTGACATCACTGACAAGCATAAGAGAAGCACAGGAGAAGTGAAAGATTGAAAAACTGAAGTGGTGAAGACTGTTGGCTAGTTGCCAGCCAGAGAATTTGGAATAGTTATAGTATGACTTAGTAATGGCTTAAAGAGCAATACAGTAAAGGCTTTAGGGACTCCAAATCACTACAGAGTATGAAAATTGATGCCTCTGGTACCAGAGTGATAGACTAAACTACTCGCATTGGCACAGTATTAAAGGTTGGGATTGTTTATTGCTGTTTTTTGCAAGATAACCAAATTTCCTCTGGGATTAGCAATCGAGCAAGCTAATTCCTCAAGAAAAGATTTAATCACACAGTACAATTTAGAATAGGAAAAGAAATAGCCCTTTTTACCTTATTTGAGCATTAGAAGAGATCTGTTTCATGTTTTTTGCAAAAGTGTTTAATTGTATTGTATTGGCAGCACATGAAACAATAGAGTTATTGCTCTACTGTTTTCAAACTTCCTAACTTTGCATGCAACAGTTTTAAAAACATGGGAATCAATTACCCTAGCTAATTTGATGCCATTAACTCTGAAATATTATGCCGATTCCTGAAGGCAGTATTTAAAATAGAAAGCCTACTGTGAATTAAAGTTAAAAATCCCACTGTAGAAATGACGTCTCCATTCCAAGAGCACAGCTCTCCAGTTATTCAGCCAAAACTTGTCTTTATTTCAGGGAGGATTTTGCCTCAATAGGGACCAAGGAACTGCAGTTGTGTACTGAGGGTGAGCCTGGAAGGTGCTTCATGTCTCTACATTTCCAGCTACTAATAAACCCTTCTCTACCCACCTATTTTTGTTTTTTTTAGATGCAAATACTGTGACAGGTCCTTTAGCATATCTTCTAACCTGCAGAGACATGTCCGTAACATCCACAATAAAGAGAAGCCATTCAAGTGTCACTTGTGTGACAGGTGTTTTGGTCAACAAACCAATCTTGACAGACATCTAAAAAAGCACGAGAACGGGAACATGTCTGGTATGTATGCCTTTTCCCTCCCCAGTGTCCCCTAGGTACCGCCAGCGTTCATATACAGGGACCTCACGTTCATTTTCAATACTACTGAGTGTCAGTAGGCACATGTTGCTCCACGCCGTCTGCTCCGATGAGTGGGTTTTTGGAAAATATGTAAGTGCCTAAGCTCTGCTGACATTTAAAGTGCTTTGAAAATCCCAGCATAAACTCTACCCTTGTATAACTTAATACCACTGGATGATGTCTTTTCTTTTGGTTTTAATTAAGCCAACCATAGCATTTTGAGAACAGACTGGGAAAATTGGTTTAATCCCATCCCCGCAATCACTTGGCTCTCAATGGGAGTCCTAGATTTAGAGTCTCGGGAGGCACTCTAAAAGATTTTCTTGGCACCTTCTAAAATATTCCCACTGTCAGGAGCTGAAAAGCACTAGCTATTATGGAGGTAATGGTGCCTCCCAAGCCCCAAAGCAAATCGGTCACCGCACAGCAGCAGCAAAGGCAGCGGCAGGTAGTGGATATCATTGGTCTGGTTTAGGTATCTGCAGGGTTTAATAAAAACCCTGTCTGCAGTCTTTTCAGTTCACATGTTGCTCCACTGGAAATAACCAGGTACATGCAGTGAATGCAGAGCTGACTTTTCCGCGATGCTCAAAGACGTCTGTCACTGGTCTCTCAGTACTAATGACCCTGATTATGTCAATGGCTGCTCCATATTTTAAGCACATCTACATAATTGGTGGCTAAAATCAAGTTCCATTTGCTTAGTTCAGCCATTGGTGTAACACAGTTATTGACTGACAGTTTTGGAGTTGCAAGGGAACAGGAGGGAGATGTTGAAATAGATACTTGGCAAAAGCCATTATAAACCATGGAAATGGCACCCAGCATGCAAGCGGTCGTTTTGGCTGGAAACCACCTTAGCCCATGGATAATAATACTTCCCTTCTAATTATTGCTTTTATGGCCAAAAGCTGATGGACCACTGTGACCAATTTTTTCTGGCTGTCACCAATTTTAACCATTGTTTCAATTTCAATTTTATATAAATGGTTAAATATAGAAAATGTAACGGAGCAGCAACAGAAGTCCTGTTTTGCTTTAAGGTACTGCAACTTCCTCACCTCACTCAGAACTGGAAAGCACAGGGGCAATCCTAGACGACAAGGAAGACTCTTACTTCACAGAAATTAGGAATTTTATTGGAAACAGCAACCACAACAATCAGTCCCCCCGAAACTCAGAGGAGAGGTGAGTTGCAACTGATCTGCCTTCAAAAGGTGCCAGTCTTCCTTTTCCAGATTAAGCCTGATTTTTCACTTTTGATGATGTCTGGAGCCCATGTTATTTTAGCAATCTGATTGCTTCAGTGTTCACCTCAGCGTCTTACGAAAAGAAATGTGTTGACTCCTTCCCCGTCGTGCATGAGCATATTCCCAGCGGCAGATGTTGGACAGAAGGTTCATCTGTGAACACATTTATCTTTAAGTCTGTTGAAAAATTCCCTCATTTTACATTCACAGCAGAGCAGGTGAATTCTACAGTCTGTGCTAAATGTAGAGCGCCTTACAATTTAAATGCAATATAAATGTGTAATTCATAAAGTAGACTAAGCTAAATTCTTGGATCAAATGAAAGTTTCTAACTGAAAGTCTTTTCCCATAAGTAACTCAATCCCAAGAAACATGCTGACTAGCAAAAAGTCCGTCAGGCCACAGGAAGGCATTGGTAGTCCACCGTGAGGGACTTTTTCCTGTTAAGATTTATTAAGTATATGAGTGTTTCAGTTCTTCTGAACTAACAGAAGAGAGACAACTTCTAAATATTTTCAGCTAATAAAAATACAGTGAAGCGGAAAAGGCTGTAGCATGGATATGCACATCAGCTATACATATTTCTTTGAGATTGGTTTTGCATTATGCATTATTTGTGCTTTTGAATTGGCATTATGTTAACAGCATCAAAAATTTCTTACTGTTGATGACAAACTTCACTGTCTGCTCAATTTCAAGATGCCTTTATGAAGGGATGAAAATGGTGGACATAACACAATTTCCACAAAAGTATTGGATTAAGTGATTACATGCATATTCTAATTTCATTCCATCTTGATTGGCAATGAGGGCTTGGGATTTTTTTCTTTGCACATCTGGTCTCAACATGTCCTCCGACAGGAAGTCAGCAAAGTGAAAAGGTTGCTGGGTTTTGCAGTGTTTCCTTTCTAAATTTGGCACTTCAGACTGGTCTTGATGGATATTTTATCCCTGGCAAATTGCTGCATTTGAAAGCATAATTAGAGAATCTGTTTTCTTAATCACATGGCTTTTGTTACTTTGGTTGTAGTCCATCTCCCTTTCATTTCTAGCAGCCTCAATTGAGCATAACAAGCAAGTTGGCAGCCCAGAATGTGCTCAACAATTTCTTATTTCTGCCTATTTAAATAAAAGATGATAAAGAGATATTGCTCTGATTATCTTAGAGGGGGTGGCTGCTTCAGCTCTCCTGACTCTGCACAGCCTCAGATTTTTTGATACTGTGATATAAACAGACCATTCCCTAGCTTTTTTTTTTAATGCAATACTAAACTCATGACCATCGGCTGGAATTTGCTCGGAAAATAGTTGAAACTATTATGTTGAGGAAAATGATGCTATTGTTGTATAAGAAACTAGTTTTCACTTGCGTACGCTCCATAAGAAAGTACATCTGTTAGAAGAGCAAGCCAAATGCTAAATACCAAATATGCTGCTAGGGCTCATCCTTATCTTGCTCAAACTTTTGGTATATTCCATATTGTCCCGCACAGTTTGAAGCACACAGAGTCGAAAGCAAACTGCGGGCAGACAATAAAGTTTCCATTTTTATAACTGTATTCCTGGAAGAGTAAGGACCTTTTGCACAATGAGAACAATAGATGAATCAAGGCCTCCGTGCTACGTAACGCAGCGGAGGAGATACACTGGTAGGGTGAGTTCATGTGGCTCCACCAAGTTCAGCCCTTTTACACCACTAGTATCTCTGGCCACGCATTTGTCAATGCAGCGGTGCCAAATTTCTTTAGCTCTCACTTGATGCGGCAGACACGATGCAGCTGCGGATGCTTAGAATCCTGCAGGGTCGAGGCTGTTAGGAAATGAGTCCCTACCTCAGCGTGGGTATTATGTCCTCGATAAAATCCCGTAGGAAGTAGTTAAGAGAAGTCATTGTCTGAAAGCAAAGGACAACGTAATAACAGCGGGTAGACCAAATGTGCGTATTGCTATAATTACTCATTTGATAAGAATAAATGCACTTAAAATGCTATATGACCTTTCTTTTCATTACTTCTTACCCGCCAAATCAGTTGATAATATAGTTCAGCGTGGAGGCAATATTGCAGACCACTCTTCAGGTCTTCAGCTGAAATCCCTCAGGTTCCCATGTATGTAATCCATACGTTCAGTAAAGTAGTATGGCTTCCAAATGGGTGGTAGTGTGCAAAATTAATTATGCATGTAATTTTGACTTTAAAACTCTGAACACTGTATTGGATGTCATTTTTGAAAGTGCCGGATCCGATTTTCAGAGTTTCTTGGCCCCTACAGCTTCTGTGAAAAGTCGTGAGTTGTTTTGCCCAGACTACATATATGATTGAAAACATGAGATGAAATAACGCGTGAGAAAATTTGGAATGGATATCTGAACACAGGTCTGCTTGAACAGTAGTTTTAGGCTCCCAGGATAACAGGAAAATCCCATGCTGATGGCACTGCAATATCCCACTGATTCTTGAGTGGAATTTTCTCCAATACTGCCTACACGTCTGAAGCTAAACAAGATATAAAATACAGAAATCACTTTATTCTACCGGGACGGATCCTTTTCAGATCTGCCTCCGACAGTCCGCTGGTGAGCAGCTTTCATAACTGATTTGTGATTATTGCTTGGGTTTGTTTTGGTACTTTCAGAATGAATGGCAGCCACTTTAAGGATGAAAAAGCCATGGTAGCCAGCCAGAACTCGGATTTGCTGGATGACGAAGAGGCAGAAGATGAAGTAATGATGGATGAAGAAGACGAAGAGAGCGAAATTGCAGGGAAAGCAATCAAAGAGCCTGTTACGAGTGACATGCACGAGGGGACTCCAGAGGAGGATTACGAGGAAACGAGTACTTTGGACATGAACTGCAAAGCTTCCCCCGGCAGGTTGGTTCCTTCCGAGTATTGGTGTGCCCGATACGCGAAATAAAAACAATGAACCATACAAGAATGCCAGCACCAAACTGTGTGCCGTGGGAACCGGTCCGAAGTAGCCAGCTTCCCAGTTACGATAGCAACGTGCGCCCGTGTTTGGGTCAATACCAGCCCTGTTTCCAGTCTTTCACGCAAGCTGTAGCCCTTAAGAGGAAAAATAACTGTGTGGGGAGCTATTGTCAGGTTCATGGGAGAGACGTTATCTGCTCCATAGACCGACCAGGATCTCCCGACACGGTCTTGTGAAAGGCTGTGGAGGCACCAGGAGAGAGACGACCTCTCCCTGCCCTGCTCCCGCCGCCCACCCTCTCCTCGCTAGGAAAGAAAGGGGAATTTCTCTTATTTCAGGATCCCAGTTCTACAGCAAGGTGCTTCATGAGTGTAAAAAAGGGGGAAATTGCTCAGATGCGTAAATCTGAGAGGACGAGGGAACGCAGACAGGATCGTTTAACTGACATTAAAACCTCCGCGGTGTTTTTGTAGGTATAAAGAGGAGGAGTATAATAAGACTGGACTTTCGGCTTTGGACCACATAAGGCACTTCACAGATAGCCTCAAAATGAGGAAAATGGAAGAAAATCAATATAGTGAAGCTGAATTGGCAGCTTTCAATCCTTCCCAGCTGCCAGAGGACCTAAAACAACCGTTGTACAGGAAATCCAAATCCCAGGTAAAAGCTTAACTCGGTTAAAATGTTATTGTCGCCAAATACCCAAAGGATTAAACCGATAGCGTGCGGCAGGCAAGGTCGTTTCAGCTTCATCAGACGGGGCTGCGCTCCGCGTCCACAAACCTCAGCCTGCCCTGGCCTCCCCCAGAGACGTGGCGGGATGCTCTCATCCCTGATAACGGAGGATTTGCTTACTTTTTTGTTAGTTTTGGTCCTGTCTGCCACCCACAGAAATGCCACGATAAGAAGTAGTCCCACTCTGCTTTCAGACAGCCGGTGCAGTCACAGGGATGCCATGGAATTTAGGTGCAACCATGCAGGGGTGTGACTTGGTCTTCTGGCCAGCCTGGCTTTTTGGTGGGTTTTTTTAAAGTCTGTTGGATGTTACTGCCTTCAGGTCCTCAGCATGTTTTAAAAACAACAATAACCGGACTGGTATCCTAGTGCTATTTCTTGAAAAATTTTTCAACATTAATTAAAAAGGGTCTTTTTAGCCCCTTTAAAAGACTCTTGGTTTTAAAATTGCAGAATATGCCCGTAGAAAAGGTCAGCAAAGGAGACTGTGGTATTCGGTGAAATACAGGCCCAGCCAAGGGATAATGTGATTCCTCAGACTCTTGAAAAGAGCCTCTTGTGCCAAGAATCTGAAGGCAAAGGAGACTCTGAGACCTTGTCTACTATCAAAGCTTTCTGAGAGCTTCGTGAAGCCAGATGAAAGCAGAAATTATTATTACTATTAGTGAGTCAAAAGTGTCAGTGAAAAGGTTGTCAGTGGTTTTACCTAATGCATTTTGATTTTTTTTTCATTAGTCTCAGAACAGCGATTGTAGCCTAAATGATGCCCTATCCGCATAGGGGTGGCACGGGTCCAAGCTCGGATCCGCGCCATGGGATCATGACCTCTTTGTCCTTCTTCTTTCCCCGTCCAGGCGTATGCGATGATGCTTTCTCTCTCCGACAAGGACTCCCTTCATTCTGCATCCCACAATTCTCCCAATATGTGGCACAGTATGGCAAGAGCCGCCGCAGAATCCAGCGCCATTCAATCCATCAGTCACGTATGACATTGTGAAGTCTTACCGAGAATGGGACCAAGTCCAAACCAGTAGCATGGCTCTTTCATATATGACTATTTAAAAGACTGCTGAGCAGAATGCCTTATAAATCTGCAGGGTCACTCATTTAAAGTCCGGTGACCTTAAACTGAATAATTTTAAAAAAGAAAGAAACTATTTATTCTCAATATTTTGTTTTGCACAGCAAAGGCAGCTGCTGACTTCTGGAGGATCAATGCGACTTAAAAAAAAAAAAGTTTCAGTGGATTATGTAAACCAGGGCCGGGAAAAAGTGTCTTCCCGTCCACCCGGCTTTGAGGGGCAGGGGCAAAAGGGTTAAGACTGCATTGATACACACATGGGCACTCCTTTAAAGTAGGAACTGAATTGATTTTCTTTTTCTATAAGATAGTTTGACAAGGTTTGGGAACAGTTGCTTTTATGTACAAATCTCTTCATTAAAGCTTTATGCATTTTAGCCCTTCAAAGAAAGAAAATAGTTCTATCAAATGCACACTATCTGTTGTAATTGTAGAAAGAAGTAACAGGGAATATTTTGTTCTCTCCGTAATTCTTTTGCCTTCTCAACTGCATTGTTACAAAAAAAAGGAAAAACAAGGAAAAAAAAAAAAGAAAGAAAAAAAAGAACTCTGAGAAACCATACATAAGAGGCTTGTGTATATTGTAAACTATGAATGTTCACTACTCCAAGAAGCTAAATCATCCAGATAATTCCGTGAAAGCACCGCGTTCATCGACAGCACCACTAGTTCGAATCATTGTAAGGAGATTTTAATTTTTGACAATCATGTCGCTATTTGTTGTATTGTTTCCTTTCCCCACTACCTTCTAATTTCTTCTTTGTGTTGTGTGTACCATGTATTTATTTGTTGGCAAACGATTGTTTGTTGATTAAAATAGCACTGTTCCTGTAACAAACAGCACTGCTGCAGTCCCCCACTGCGTTACGATGTAAGGCACCCATGTACTTCAAAACAAGTGAGGTGAACTGATCTGTGTATATGGGAGTGCAAAACAGTGTTTGAAATTTTCTTACATTCCTCTTTTATTTTATTTTTGCCTTTTAATGAACTAAATAACTAATAGAGGCGACTTAGGTTTGGTTTTTTTTTTTTGTAATACAGTAAATTGATTCAATTGTATAAACAGTTATAATTTCTTCATGAAAGCATGATTCTTCTGATTAAAAAACTGTACCCAATATTTTATGCTGGTTGTCTGCGAGCTTGTGTGATGTTATGTTCATGTTAATCCTATTTGTAAGATGAAGTGTTCCAAATTTATGTTTAAAAAGAATAAATAAATAACAGAAGGTATTCAGTTATTTTTGGGGGTTTTTTTTTGGCCTTTAGTGAGGGACCAGATTTATTTTTCCTTTTTGTTTATAATCTCATTTTGAAATAATCGGCAAGTTGAGGTACTTTCTTTAAATGCTTTGTACAATGTAACTGTTACGCATTTCAGTACATTACTATGGGAGGATCAACTTAAAAAAAAAAATAAAGGACTACAAAACTGAAGGGATCTTTTTCCTTATTGTCTTGCTTTTGTCTGGGTCAGGGCAAAAATACTGTATTTCTTCTGCAGTCTGGGGAGCAAGGACTGTGTCTGTGGGGTCCTGAGGATAAGGGTAACCAGAGGACGGGGCACTGCGAAGTGTCTTGGACTTGGTCACGCAGTTTAGGACCCAATCCAGAATCTCTCAGTAGACCATTGGAGGGTTTTAGATCAATCCTTTAAGCTTCAAAACACTACTACCGTGGGAAAGAGAAATATTTCACTCATTTTACAGGAGGGACTGGGGCCAGGTCACCGTTGGACACTGTTGTGGAGCCTTGAGCTCAGGCTGGTGATGCACCCGCCTGCTGCTTGGGGGGACAACGTCGGGAAGCAGCGGCTTGGCCGGCTAATAGCAAAACATTGACTTGCCGGAATGATAAAAATCCATCGTTGAGAAGCTAAGTGGGCCTCCAACTGCAGGAAATGAGCCTTTAGGGTCTAAAAGGAAAAAAAAAAAAGAATATTTTCATTTGAGCGTATCATTTGAAATCGGGTCCAAAGCCCTGCTTCTGCTGGACAAGCCGCAGAGCAGTGGGAGGTGGGATGTCCAGGAAAAGCCAGCGCTGGCCCAGGCGATGCACGTTTTCCTGCTTTTCCCATCAGCAGAGAGGAAAGGACTGAGACGGCTCCAAAAGGGACCATGGGGATGGCCCTGCCTGGCACCCCCGGCCAAGCTTGGTCTTTGCAGCTGCTGCGCAGGGCTGTCCCTCACATTTAGGTGGCTCGAAAGAGTGACTGTGGCACACCGTGGCGTCCTTCTGTGCAGCGGGACCAAGGATCGCTCTCGCCAGATGCAAACGAGCTGGCAAGAGCGAGCAACGAGGGAGCACCCAGGGCAGTCCGTGACGAACGCGTATTAAATGCTGCAGCACCGCCCCAGCGGGAGAGGCACATCTCGGGAATACGGTTTGTGGGAGGTTTGCTTAAATCTGGCTCCACTGAAGCCAGAAGTACCTCCAAAGGTGGAGGCCTTGTCTCCAGGCCCAAGGCAAGGGGTGCTCCTCTCTCAGTCCGTTTCAGTACACAAAGACCCCTCGTAGCTCACCAGATCCTCAAGTTACGTCTCCGAATAACCTGTATGTGTCATTCTTGTCTTCAGCCCAGCTATGGTTTGACATGTTTTATAACCGTCGTGTGGAACAGGGGCATTGGCAGGGCTGGATCCAAGGCCGGCTGGGACGGGCATGGGCTGCCTTCGCTTTGCTCTTGCAGCTCCTGAGCCTCGTGCAGAGGTTGACGGCAAGCTGAGACCTACAGGCTGGTGGTTTTCACGCAGGAAGCCTAAAGCACACCTGGAAGAGAAAAGAAAAGAAAAAAAAAAAGCCTGTGTGCGTGTTCCTGTGCTCACTTCATTGGCCCCAGCCAATGGTCAGGTACATACAGATAATTGCGTAAATAGGCTATTATTTTTAGTGCAGTTAAAGTCACCGTGAAACTTGGTTTTAGGTTTCTGCCAAATAAAGAGAACAAATAGATTAATCAAGTCAAGTTTTATCTGCAAACAACTTTCCAGATTGTTTTCCCCTTTAATTTGATGCAATGACAGCTCTTATCAGCTCTGGCCTCACCTGCCCTAGATGAAAGGGGTTTTGGGAGGTGGAGAAAGGGTGGGACAGTTTCTTCTGGGTTTAATGTTCTGGATTGCAGTAGCATGCTCCCATCATATAACTGTCAGGGAAAGTACTCCTTGAGCTGAGCCGTAGGGTTAGTCTAACCTGCTCATAACCAGGTCTATTGACCATCAGGGAGCGGCTGCCACTGCCTCATCGAATCCCCAGGCGGATGTTCCCATTGAGAACCTTGAGCTTTGTATTTTCGTGTCAAAGCGTCCCACCCTGAGCAGCACTCCATGTGGATACCTTACCGTGACCTTGATTTTCATTGCCTTTTCTCAATGGCAGAGTTATTCACCCAGAGGAATAGCTGAAAAGCAAACCCAGATTAGATTAGCCATCTCATCCCCCAAATAAACAAAGAAAACCAAGTAATTTTTGTGTTTGTGTCATACCTTCGCCAACGTACCACACAGATGCGCTTGTCCAGGTGCAAACAGGTTGCTAAGTAAGGACCAATATTTCTGGCTTTCTGTTACAGTGATTTTTTTTTTTTTTTTTAAGAAAAAAATTCTTTCAATATTTTTTTTAAAAACCACGCAGCTTATTTCAGCATTATCCTACTCCCCACCCCACTGTAGTAGTTTTCCATAAGTCAACAAATCATTCCCATGTGATACAGCAGCCTTGCTAGACAAAGGAGGTGCATATAACCGCCGCAGTTCCTATCTACAGAATCTAACAAAGCAGCAGCACGACGAGATGATTAATCAGTATTTCTCCCTGGCCCAAATCCTCAGTACCACTGCGGGTCCGAGTCGCTGTTCCTGTGTCGGCCCTGCTGTTTTACTGCATTAATAGCCACATTTGCGGTGTAATGGGAGGGGAAGTTATTATAAAAACATTTACAAGGCTGCTTTTGCTCGGTTTGGCCCATTGCTCCATGCATGTCTTGAACTTTAAAACTTTCTGTCAGGTCCCTCTTGCTCAGACGTATGGGGAATTGCTGCAAACTCCTGGATCGTTTCGCCCCACTCTGCTGCCTTCCAGCTATATTAAGTCTCATTTGTGGTTTTGCTGGTCAGTCATATAGTGGTGCAGAAAAGCTAGTTCGTTTTAAAGATGCTTCCAGTAATAATTTAAACAAAACAAATGAATCCAGCACCAAACAGAAGACCCTTTCTCCATGTCGGAGACCAGAAGACCCTTCCTCCGCGTCAGAGACCGCGTACCTTACCAGGACTCCAGTTATAAGCAAAATGTACTCTGCAGCCTGGCCCAAACTATCCTCTCTCCCGTCCCATTGAATGGCTGTGTAGGTTCGTGAGCGTATCTGAGTCTACGGCTCCCAGTAGCCCGATTAACTCATCTTTTGTTTCTATACAGAAAATGGTGCCAGCTTTAGGAAAGGCTCAGCTTTACAATTCAGAGTCACTTAATGAAGTCTGAGGAGAGGGTGAAGGGAAGAACATCAAATAAAAAGTAAAAAAAAAAAAAAAAAAAAAGTACTATATTCCTTTTCCTTTATTTTTTTGTCCCCAACTCAGATTCATTCGCTGCTAGAGGAAAGCAATACTCAGCAAAATTTACTGTTTTCCCAGAATTTAGATTTTAATCAGACTAACGTTCAAGTAAACCCTGAAAAGAGGCCCCGCTGCCACGCAGTCACTCAGGAACTCGTGGTACGTCTCGCAAGACTGAAGCCTTTTTCCTAAAACTACCGCCTAAATTTTGCTTGGGACTGGTTGCCCCCCTGGGTACGACCATAAACCAGACTGAACACAGATCCCTTTGCCGCCGCGTGCTGGAAGCAGAGCCTCCTTTTTTTGATCCAGGAGCGTCCGTATTTTAACGGCAATCAAAGGTATTTATATCTATAAATCTATTCGGGCAAGTTTGGGGAACCTTTTAGTATGAAAGGTGCTGTGGAAATATAAAAGTGGTCTCGTATAACGTGCCGGGTAGGAGCTTTAGCAGTATCTGCTCCATCTGTCTGAGCAGAGGGTCTGAAAGAAGGCACCTCCAGAAAGCACCCTGCTTTCTCCTGCTTTATTTTAATACTAATTAATTCCAGAAAGACTAAAGAAATGTGATGAAACGCTACACTTCTAAGAAAAAGTTTTGCCTGAGAGTCTTTTAAAGCAGGCCTCCCAGCTTGGGAGGGTCTAGTGGGAGAAGAGGGTTAGTGGTCATTTTGATGCTTAAATTATCAGTAATTAAGAAGTTGATTTTCTAGGATTGAGGAAAATTTTAAACAGCTGCTTCTTTCAGGCCTTTACTCCTCATTTTCGTTAGCATGTGCTAAGGCAATCTGGAAAATATATTTAGATCTATATTATGCTATGTCAAGACCTCAGCATCTGTACCTTGGGGCAGATACATGTGAGATAGCCAAGGGTAGATGTGCCAGCACGCACATGTGGAAGTGTTCAATTTGTAATATGATTATAGCCCCAAAACAAAGCCT